TCCCCTAGATTTCAGACTCTGGCACCGCCACCGATTATTTCCACCCCTGTAGTTTTAAATTATACCCTGCCACCTGAATCTATATTGAAAATGAAAGAAAAAAGTTGAATTTAAAAAACTTATTTAGGTAAGCCTTTATCATTATCAGGTCAATTAGCGTAGGCCTACGTTCAACTAAAAATTGAAAGTGTGTGTAATGGAGAAAGAAAGCACTTCTTCGTCAATTAACGGGGACGCTTAAACAACAGTTTCTGTAGACTTTGCAAGCCTACCCTTACATTTCTGCTGGCAATTAAGTATTTTTGTGTAGTAGGCCTAATATCAGTAAATCATTAAAAGCCCTGATTATTTTTCGATCTGACGTAATGGATGTGGCCAACTCAGGCCCGTAGCCAGGGTGGGGGGGGGGTGCGTTGGGGGCGTACGGTTGGGTGCGTACGCACCCCCTCCCCCCAAATCGAAAAACGTCCACTAATTATAACCAAAAAAATGTGACCTTGTTCCTAGAATCATTATAAAATGAATCACATAACATTACAGTATTAAGATTGTATGAATGAATACTAGAGCGCTGACTCCACACGCGCAATCTTTTGTACTGCCAGCAACATAACACAACAAACATACACACGTTATATGCACGTTATCGTGTAGGTGTATCTTCCCCTAACTACCAGCCGGTATGTCAGTGTATAGCAATGAAGTCAAAATGCTAGAATGACACCCCGGTTTAGACAAGTATAATCGTTCCTAGCGCTCTCAGAAATACCCTGAGACGAGTATACTCGACGTTTGTTTGGTTTTTCTACTACTTCTAAAAAATAAAAACCTCACTTGTGACATTTAACTTAGCCTTAATTTATTCTTATTTTGTTCTCAATTTTTCCGCAATTTCGACACCTCATTCTTCTTATAAAATGTGCTCTTATAAAAAAGTGTAAGTGATGTTGCTATTAAAACGTACAACGTTACTCATATCATGATGATCCTTTTATACAGTATACCCCGTCACGGGTTCAATGGATAGATAGCGTATACATACAGTATAATTATGCTTATACCTCTTTATATGCCAAGAATAAAAGTGTTGATTAATTTGTTTCAAATGCTTCTGGTTGTTTGAATCAGCTCATTTACAGTCGCTTTTAATTTAATCCACTCTTTATATCAAACTTTGCTATTATTCATTTAAAAGCTGAATTGATTTTGAATTTTTATTCGTAATGGTTACGAATTTATACAGTAGTATTTTTCATTTGGGAAACAATTTGCTTGTTTCTCCATGTCCTCCACTGGTAATTTTTTGATAGGCCCTATCGTTCTGTTCACGGACATAGAAATTAACATGATAAAATGCCTTCAAATGACTAGCATCGCATTGCGATCGGTTGTAGCAATTGCGACACCCAATCGCACACAATCGCAAAGTAAAATCGTGTGTGAAAGCTCACCAATATAGTAGTCGATATGTAATCGACATCGCAATTGTTACCCGTGGCGATTGGGTGCTACAATCTTAATACTGTACCCTATTCAGACTACACTCTCTTGCGATCGGTTGCGATGTATAGTCGGTGGTAATCCAAAACTGATTACTCCCGATCGCAATCATCAACGAACGCATTCAGACCAACACAAGCAAACTTTACATTCTAGGGCCATATAGGCCTCCAATGTCTAGGCCTATGTTGCCTGACCTCAGCCAAACAGTGCCTGTGGAATTCGTTGTGACTCGTTGCGATCAGATTCCGTGGTAATCGGGAGTAATAAAGATTGTAGCACCCAATCAATTACGATATCGATTACATATCGACTACTATTGGTGAGCTTTCACACACGATTTTACTTTGCGATTGGGTGCGATTGGGTGTCGCAATTGCTACAACCGATCGCAATGCGATGCTAGTCTGAATGGGGTATTAGCAACACAGTAATATGATGTGTATGTGAAAGTGAGGTGTAAAGATCACACTAAAGGAAAGAGAGGGAAGATTGAGGCCAAACAAAATGAAGTCTTTTCATGATGCTATTACTACAAGAAGCAATTTAAGCATTTACAGTTTATGATTAACAGGAACACAATGCTTTCCAACTGTATGTAAACATGCACAATTATTGTTATAGAACGCAAGTCAACTATGTAGTCTACATGTGGTAGTACACCTTTACATAGAGTAATTTCCATGTGTCTGTGCAGTGTAGTTTAGTTTATGTATGCTACATTCAATACACACCTACAGTGATGTGCCAATTACACACCGTTGTATAAAGATTAACTGGCACATCATGTAAAAATACACTACACATAGCACAGTACAGTATATGTGCAAACTGCACAGATGCACTATGATATAGTGAAAAGGGCATGTGTGACTACTGTATGTTGAGCTTTCATGTAGTTTGCATACGTTTGTATGTGTACTCTACAGTACATTCACGTATGCTACATATCCTACACAGTACAGTACTACACACGCCATACCAGGCCAGTAGCCAGGAGGGATTTTTATGGCTTGGGCAAACCTCCCTCTTTACTGGCAATCTTCCCTTCCCTTTGGATTTCCTGAATAAGTCCTTAAAACCCACAATGTACTGCAGACCCACCCAGACTCAGACAGAATGTTTTGTGTCAACAAAACTGCATTTATATCATTATTAAGACCCATACACATTTTTATTTATTTATTTATTCTCAATATTTCAAAGTCAAATAGACTGGTCTCCCTTGGGGCCCTGGGTACAAAATATTTTTAGACAACAGAAACTTAACTAAAAATTTACACATTTAAGTACATACAATAAAAGATAATTAAATACAGCTGTGTTGTTTTATTTATCAAGAGAATCCACGTGTCATGCGCATGCTCAGTTCACTAATATGGCGATGTCCTTATGTGTAGTGCTTTAAAACTATTTTAGGGTGAAATTAATGATTAAATTGAGACACAATGTTTAAAAAACTGAAGACTAAAATAGCTGAAGAGACTAGCAAGTCTCCAGGGCGATTGAAAACTCCAGGAAATACGCCGAAACAGGTACTGTAATAGCTGAAAACTCGGTCTGTTTACCGGCAGGTCATGGGCTAGCTAGGGCCTAGGCTAAACTTAGGCGTAGGTCATAGATAGGTGTGCGTAGGCTAGGCTAGCCTAGGTCGGGTAGGCTATAGGCCGATCCCCTAGTAGTAGGGCTGGCCTGATGCACTGCCACTCCTACTAAGTCTAGGGTAGGCCTAGCATAACTAGGGCATAGCTAGCTAGGCCTAGTCCTACCCTTCTGAAAGATGCAATGGATTCTTTAAAAATAAAGTACACCACATGAACCAAATATTAAAATGGACCTCCGCCCTAAGTTATCCGAAAAGATTTAGCTTGGTTCAACACCTGAATCCTGGACAAGGCAAGGGGCGATCGTTGAACAAGCGCTAATGTAAAAGGCTAGTAAGTAAGCCCTGCCTTACTGTTTAGCCACATGTCCAAAGGAAGACATTCTCTAAGATCTCACAGATTTCAAAATCAAATGACTTTATTTTATAAAATAAATGTGTTCTCCACCCCTGCCAGGATTTTCACACTCCCAGGTTATTCGTCTATGCCAAAAAGTAACCCTTCTTTGCCAAGTTGCAGGTGGTGTGTTTTCTTTTAGAAAATAATTTATACTAGGATATTTGATGAAATGTATGGAAAAATGAAAACCACTAAAGTAGTGAACTGCTTGGCAAAGTACCAGTTGTTGGGAGGGAGAAGTAATGTAGGCCTTCAATGTAATCATATGGTTTTTATTTTTTGTTTATTCTAATTATTCTAATTTTAGGATGGTGATGTGTCTGCAGAGAACAATACACCCTCATCGTCCCAGCAAGATACTCCTCATAGACCCAGGAACACCCTTAACAGTAGAAGACCTCAGGTACTGTAGTAGGCCTAAATGTCCAGTGTGTAAATTATAAATTACTTGCATTTTGGCCAACAAATATCAGTTTTAAGTAAAGAGTGTAGAGTTTCACCAGGGCATCTGACCACAACTAGTAGTGGTACTACTTGGCCTATTTTTGTTGGCTCTCCACATATTTGTTGATATTACTATCTAGTTTAACATTTGCAATAAGGAGATTGACTGTTTTAGAGGTGTATTTCACCTGTTAGCTTTTTCCTTAATATTGGCAGTATGTTTTTTTTTATGTTTTTGTGAAGTGTTTTTGTTGCCAACAGAATTTGAATAAATAAAAGAATGAATTTACCTGAGATAACTAATAGTAACCATTGCAGTTTACTTATTGTTGTGGGAGTAATATCAATAATGTCCTTAGAAGAATAATTCACATGTAACTATTAATCATAGGCGTAGATCCCGGGGGGGGGGGGGGGATGGGGGGGATATGGAGGGGATATATCTCCCCCAATATTTGACAAGGGGGGATGGTCCATTGTATCATCCCCCAATATTTTGACTATGTATGGGATAAAATGGAGCTTTACACACTTCAAAAGACTGTCACAGAAATAATTTGCACTGTCAAAGATGAAAATTAGCATAATGTATTATTGTTGATAACAAAATTATTTTATCTGGTACCAATCTAAGCTCTTCTTTCCATAGATGTTAGATGTGCTTGCAAAGAG